GATCTCACTGGAGTCTTGTGGCCGATACCCCGCGCGCGAGGGTGGCGGAGGCTGGCGTGTGGCGAGGTTCGTGTCACTACCCTGATAGAACTGGGACGTCACTCGGAAGTCATTTTGCACATCCAAATTCGTCCCAACTCTTCCAATTCCATCCGTGTTCGTCCAAATACGTCCATTGACTTCCCCAGTCGTCCAAAAGACTTCCAACGACGTCCCCCGACTTCCATTGACGTCCCTGCCACTTCCATTGTCTTCCCACGACTTCCACTGACATCCGCGCCACTTCCACCGTCTTCCCACGACTTCCACTGACTTCCCGCCACTTCCATTGTCTTCCCCCGACTTCCACCGACATCCGCGCCACTTCCATTGTCTTCCTACGACTTCCACCGACGTCCCCGCCACTTCCATTGTCTTCCCACGACTTCCACTGACATCCGCGCCACTTCCACTGTCTTCCCACGACTTCCACCGACTTCCCGCCACTTCCATTGTCTTCCCCCGACTTCCACCGACATCTGCGCCACTTCCATTGTCTTTCCACGACTTCCACCGACATCCGCGCCACTTCCACAGTCTTCCCACGACTTCCACCGACCTCCCGCCACTTCCATTGTCTTCCCCCGACTTCCACCGATATCCGCGCCACTTCCATTGTCTTCCCACGACTTCCACCGACATCCGAGATAAATCGAGACAAGTCGTGGGTGGGGGAATGGGGCCGGGGAGGTCTGTGGACGCCGGATGTGTCAGTCTGGCTCAGACCTGCTTTGAGTGAGGACCTACTCTTTGCTTGGTCTCGGTGACACGATAGGGACGTCATCGGGCACCCTATGAGGTGGCCGATGACGTCCTCCTGGGGACGACTAAGTACGAAAGCTGGCAGACACATCAGCCCGATTACGCCGCCACATCCAAGGAAGTCTAACGACTTCCGCCGACTTCCCTCGGCTTCCCACGACTTCCACGACGTCCTACGACGTCCCTCGACTTCCCACGACTTCCCACGACTTCCCACGACTTCCCTCGACTTTGACTTCCATATAGGCTTCCATCGACTTCCCTCGACTTCTCTCGACTTCCCGCGACTTCCCACGACTTCCCTCGACTTCGACTACCACATCGACTTCCATCAACTTCCGCCGACTTCCCTCGACTTCCCCCGACGTCCAACGACTTCCCACGACTTCCCTCGACTTCCCTCGACTTCCCTCGACTTCCCACGATGTCCCACGATGTCCCACGATGTCCCACGACGTCCCTCGACGTCCCTCGACGTCCCTCGACTTCCCACGACTTCCCACGACTTCCCTCGACCTCGACTTCCATCGACTTCCATCGACTTCCATCGACTTCCATCGACTTCCATGGACTTCCCTAGACTTCCCTCGACTTCCCACGACGTCCCTCGACGTTTCTTGAAGTCATGGGAAGAAAATGGAAGTGGCGGGGATGTCGGTGGAAGTCGTGGGAAGCTAATGGAAGTGGCACGGGGGTGATTCCGTGCGTAGGGGGTCATTTTGGATGTACCAAATGTTCTTTTTTAAAGTTCAACTTTAGGGGCTAAATTTGGTGTAGATGGCATACATAGTACCCCACAGTACCCCTCTGAGCGTGGCAGCGCTACAACTTGACTTTTAATTTCACCCCCTATGAAATACGGCGGAATTTACAGAAATAATGACGGAATTTACAGATTACGGAATTTACAAAGCAAAGTGTTTCGTCTCCTGACCCGCTGGGTTACAAAAAAGGTAAAAACTGTTGACGGTGTCATTTTGAGCATCCAAAATAGCGTTTTTCAGCGAAGGTTGTGGCAACTTTCTCCCTCAGATGGAGCAGCTATGGCCCGAAACGGAATTAACATCTTTTTGTACACCCTTACCGTTTTGAACAATTCTGACGGCCTGGAAGCGTCGTTTGACCGCCCCAGGTCCCGCGGGCACGGGCTTCTGGAGGCGTTTTTTATGTTCTTTCGATCCCAAGTGGTCGCGAGGTTCTAAAATGAAAAGGAACCCCAGTAGACCGTCAGTTGTGAAAGCAGCATAGGTCACATCGTCACACGGTGGACATTTTCCCATAGGCTGTTTCGGGTTCTACAAGTGATGATACAAAGGTCACCTTCCGTAATTTTGCGAAGAATAAGTCAGGGAAGAGAGTGAAAAAGCCAGTTTTCTTTTGATGTGGTTGAGTCATATACTACAGCATGGCAATGTTGTCTTATAGGTGTTGGTGACCATGACGGAACTTACAAAACGACACTTTAGCAGCTTACGAAACCTAGAAAAACAAAAGTTAGATTGACTTATCCACATGAGGACATGGTCTTCGTTTAGTAAAACAAATTTGAATTGCCCAAGCTACCAAATCAACCTCAGTTCAGGCGCAAGGCCCCGGTGACCTGAAATGACCCCCTACGCACGGAATCACCCACGGATGTCAGTGGAAGTCGCGGGAAGACAATGGAAGTGGCGCGGGTGTCGGTGGAAGTCGTGGGAAGACAGTGGAAGGGGCGGGGATGTTGATGGAAGTCAGGGGACGTTGTTGGAAGTGTCATGGAAGTTGTCGGACGTCTTGGGAAGTGGCAGGGAAGTCCCCGGACGTCCCTGGAAGTTGATTGGACGTCTTGGGAAGTGGCAGGGAAGTCGTCGGACGTCCCTGGAAGTGACAGGGAAGTCGTCGGACGTCGCTGGAAGTGGCAGGGAAGTCGTCGGACGTCGCGGAAGTGGCAGGGGAAATCGTCGGACGTCGCTGGAAGTGGCAGGGAAGTCGTCGGACGTCCCTGGAAGTGGCAGGGAAGTCGTCGGACGTCCCTGGAAGTGGCAGGGAAGTCGTCGGACGTCCCTGGAAGTGGCAGGGAAGTCGTGGGACGTCGCTGGAAGTGGCAGGGAAGTCGTCGGACGTCGCTGGAAGTGGCAGGGAAGTCGTCGGACGTCGCTGGAAGTGGCAGGGAAGTCGTCGGACGTCGCTGGAAGTGGCAGGGAAGTCGTCGGACGTCCCTGGAAGTGGATCGGACGTCTTGGGAAGTGGCAGGGAAGTCGTCGGACGTCCCTGGTCGTGGGTCGGACGTCGTAGGATGTAAACGGAAGTCGTAGGACGTCCCTGGACGTCGGTGGGATGTCTCGGGAAGTGGCAGGGACGTCGGGGGACGCAACTGGGAAGTCATGGGAAGTCTTCGGATGTCAGTGGAAGAGAGGCCGTGACTTCCGGCGACTTCAAAACATGTTACATTCTGGAATTTCTTGGAAGTGGAGCGAAGTGGCTTCGTCCGATGAGTTCCAGCTTTCGACTTCCCTGTTCGTCCCAAAATTCCCATGAGGGCTGGGAAGCCTGTGCGTCTGGATAGAGTAGTTTTTGTCCTGTTTCTGTTTCTTTCCGCTTCTGTAGGCCACTAGATGTACCTGGGCCCAATTGGGCTTAAGCTCACATGTCCCCTTGATCGCATACTTATAGTGCTTATGTACTTCACTGGAATGGACTCCAAAGCGAAGTGCTACACTTCGATAAGAGTCTGGTGTAGCCAGGATCCAAACGACCATCATTAATATTTCTCCAAAATTAGTCCTTTCTCTTAAAATTGTGCCATTCTTAAACAACTGCCTCAGTTCGTCACGTAGAAGCTGAAAATGAAAATTTATGGCAACATCACGAAATGATATGGTAAACGCCGCGGCGGTGAGTGCAGTGGCATTGGGGGCAAGCCATTGGGGTTGTTCGTCCCAGTTGAACCGCACGGTTGCCGTGCAGGTGAGCGAGGGGTGGGGGCGACCGGCTGGACGGGCGGCGCCGGGGAGGTCGGCAATGGAGTGATGACCACGACCTGTCTACAAACTGAAGTGTGTACTCAGTATGCATCTACAGATGCATACTTATAAGTACACACCTACAGATGCATACCTAGCTGAGTACACATCTACAGATGCATACCTGTTAAGTATGCATCGGTAGGTGCATACTTGGCAAGTATGCATTAGTAGGTGTGTACTTGTCACCATATAAATGCCCAGTACCAAGTACACATCTTCAGATGCATACTTGGCGGAGTACACATCTACAGATGCATACCTGTCAAGTATGCATCTGTAGATGTGTACTCAGCCAAGTATGCATCCGTAGATGTGTACTCAGCTAGGTATGCATCTGTACGTGTGTACTTATAAGTATGCATCTGTAGATGCATACTGAGTACACACTTCAGTTTGTAGAGCTCCCGTGCGGCCTACTCCGTGACGAGCGTCCAGGGGTCCGCGTCCTCCGCGATGTCCCAGCATGGCGGCCGGTCTGTGAGGGGGCTGGTGGCGATCTCCAGCTCGTCCTCGTTCAGGGAGTCGTACATCCTGCATCGGAGTTGAGTGCGTCTTCTGATCAATTTCCGTCTGTGTTAGTGTTGCAGCTGAGCTGTGCTTCGCAGGGAGTCCTCGTCGCCACTTGGTGTGTATAGGAGCGGGGGGGATGAATGACCAGTCGGAGTCTGAGAGCGTACTGACTTGCCTGACTGACGCGAGGCAGGGCCACTCGCCTGGAGGGGAGGGGGTGCTCGTATATGAGAAATTTAGAGGGCCTTTGTTGACTATGAGAGAGAAGTATACGGCACGTAGGTTTCAGACGATGTCTCACTCAAGGAGCATTCCACTGAAATATAATTATTGTATAAGACCATCGTAACACCACTTTTTCCATTAAATCATTAATTTAAGACCTTTCGTCTTGATACAGCCTCCAAAAACTCTGTCCGGTGGCGTGGTTTCTCTTGTTCTTGCGTCAAATCTGTAAACAACATGTGCATAGAGAGATTTGAGAACTAATTTTATACGACTGAGACCAGATAAACCAGTACAAGTTAAAAGGCCACAATGTATAAAAATTACTGAAAATTCAAGTGTTAAAAATCAAATCGTTTTAAAACATGCGTTTTCCCCAAAGGGGAGGAATCTGTTGGGTATTGTTCTTGCAATCTTCCCCAAAGGGAAAAACGTAGGATCTCTGCTGCGTCCTGCTGCTCACGAACTTTGATATGAGGGAAAAAAGCCTGCAACACAATTTAAAAAAATTAAAAAACAATACCACATTTTTCTCTGGACTGAAACTCTAAACTCTACTTTTTTACCTTTCATGACTCTGTCCCTTAATACTAAAGGCATCAGAGGAGGCTTAGCTTCGTACATTTCTAAGCATTTATGGAGGCCCCCATGCCAAGCAAAGTAGACCCAAGGCCCCACTTCTTTTGATGTTCTGTATCCTCTTTCAACCAGACACTGTATAAAAATGTTCGGAATATTACCATAAATGTCTAGGAAATTCCTTTTCATGTATCGGCTGAAATTCGATACATGTATAGGAATATTCTGATTTGTATAGCTTTCTGCTATAGGGCTGAAAATGTATAAGAATATTCCTATACATGTGTCGTAATTTTTAAATATGACGATGACTAAAAGCGTTCCGCTAATTTTTTTCGGGAGTGTACAATATAGAATAAATTATAAAGACCTTATGCCAGTTCTGTGAGAAGAGTGCAGCAATGTTTAAATATCTTTAAGAATGATTATTGGCGAGGGCTTTACATGGTTCTCAAAGAATAAAAGCTTCTCTTCACCATCACCAAAACGAACCAGCAATAAGATTTTGGGTTACTGGCTGTGTCTTTGGCAGAAATTTTTCTCAAACCCCTTTTACTACTTTCTTCTCGTGCCTATGTACGGATCACAGCAGAAGATTACATCAGGCTCTGAAATGAAAAGGTTAGGTTATATCCCTCTAGCACTACGGACGAACTCAAGACATCCTCGACTCAACCACAAAGAACACACACCTGAAGAATCCATGATTGAAAAATTGAAGCTCCGATTCAGAACAGTCGCATGTCCGATCTCACGCCAGTCCAACGCAGACACCAAACCAAACAATGACAACCCCCGTGCGATAACAGCTACAAATGAACAAGTGAAACTCTGGAAGGGGGGAGAACGGGGAGGGGGCGGCGCTTGGGGAGGCAACCCATCTCGCGCGCCTGCTTGACCGTAGACTCAGATCTTCCGCGGAGCCGCTTGCGCGTATCGTCAACAGAGCGTGATGGTTAGAAAATGAGGCCCGCTTCGCCGGTGCCTTCCCATATAGTGGCCGCCGTGGTCCAGGGCGCCGCCCGGCGTGCTGCCGGGGTCCGCCCCAGCCTGCCCCCGGCTGGGCCTTTCTTGAAGAGGTCGTGGGGCCCCCCGTTTGCCTTGCACGCGTCACGGGCGCGTGTCGCGGGGCGTACGGCCGCGGCTGGCTGTCGGGCCGGGCGTGCCTGTGGGGGCGTTGCACCGGGGCCCTTAGGCCACCCATCGGGGTGGTGTGTGGGTGTGGCTGCGTTCAGGGGGGGCGCGGCGCTATGGCGGTCGCTCTCTCTGACAAGTGTGGTATTTCCCATTTAGCTATGTCATTTGCTGAAGTGTCGTACAGTTGTATTGATGGATTATGTATTCCCAGAGCTGTGTACGGTTTTCCCGGGAAAACGAAAATTTTGCTTTCACACCGTTACAAGGCAGTTAAAAGTTCAGAAAGAATCAAAAAATACTCCCAAGTTGGTTGGGAAAGTTTCAGCTGGACCTAAACTCTCGAGGTCATTCCATATAAGATTTACATGGACCTGGTTATCCTTTGACGATTTCGACCAAATTTGGCACGAAGGTCCCTAGTGGTCAGGAACATGCCCACAAATTGTCGGTATCTCAAGTGGTTTCGTCCGTATCGACATTTTAAGTTTTTACTCTTAAAAAACTTGTTAAAAGGCAATTTTTTGTTGAGCGATAAAGCTATTCTGACCTGACGTAAAATGCAACGAGGAATCCGAATCTGCCGTGCACTCGTGGACCTTCCATTTGTTGGAGGTGACGGAGACCTCTTCCTGTTGATGGGCGATCTAAATAGGACCTATCTCGCTCAGGTGGCCTCGACTTTGCTGCAGGCTGAGAGGTCCTCTTTTTGGGTGGAGGGCTGCTATCCATGAAGGACCAGTCCCGGGTTCCTGATCTTCTATTGGATGGAGGTGAAGGAGATCTCTTGCCTGCTGTTGATGGGCGATCCAAGCACGACTAATCTCGATCAGGTGACCTGGACTTGGCTGTGCACTGTCAGAAAACTCCGTAAAAATACGGAAATTTAACGGAGACCGTCCATTTTTTTTACGGAGATCTCCGTTTTTTTTGAATTATGGATTTTCTCCGTGAAAATATGGAAGTTATGTATATAAATGAAATAGAAGCCTTACTTATCAAAAAGAACAGACAAATTCACGTTATCGATGGGTTGGGTGACCAACTGATTAGGTGTTCCAAGAGTACGCCTTCCCTAAAGCAACCTCGCCTTTGGGTTTCCGACCATTTATTCGATCCTGGCATGTGGTCAAGTGGATCTTCAAGCAGTTTTGGAGAATATCACTTTCGTCTTAAAGACCACTGTTTGCATTAACATCGGAGGTAGAAGGAGGGAAGTAAACCGTTAAAATGCGTTTATTTCTGCAAAAATGCGGTTCATCTCCTTAAAAATACGGAAAATCTCCGTAAAAATATGGAAAATCTCCGTAAAAAGATGGAAAATTTACGGAGCCTCCATTCCCAAAATCAGAGTAACTTTCTCCGTAAATATACGGACTTTTTTTCTAACAGTGTGGGCTGAGAGGTTCTCTTCTTGGATGGAGGGCTGCTACCTATGAAGGACTAGTCCGGGGTTCCTGATCTTCCATTGCTAGCAGATGGACACCTGTCCACTGAAGAGGATCTGTCCAAGAAGGAGCTCCTTCGGGAAGGTGACCTCTGAGATGCACCTGAACGCGAGTTCTTTAAATGCTGTGGCTCAGAAGCAACTGTCTTGAAGTAGGGTGGAGGTGTCTCGTCCAGCAGCCATGAAAAGTCTGGAATTGAAGGCTCAGCCCTTGGTTCAGGCATCCATTACAAGCACATCTACACTGGAAGCCAACGAATGTGACATCACATTCGTTTGAACGTGAAAACGGCGATGTCAGTTTGAACGTGACAAACAGAGAAAATTCATACTCAAACGAATGTGACACACCGCACCGCTCTGTCACATTACTTCGGGTGTGACACGAAATCAGCAGGCAAACTGTCACATTAAAACGAATGTGACACATGGTTTTCCATTGACATACATCGTGTCACGTCCAAAAATTGAAAACCCATATGCTGTCACGTTCGTTTGAATGTGACATGCCCTAAATTTTCCATTCAAACGAACGTGACACGCCCCGGACACGCCATAAGTGTCAGGTTATGGCGTGTCACGTTCAATTGAATGTGACAATTCGGGCATGTCACATTCAAACGAACGTGACAGCATATGGGTGTCACATTCGTTTGGACGTGACACGATGTATGTCAATGGGTACCATGTGTCACGTTCGTTTTAATGTGACAGTTTGCCTGCTGATTTCGTGTCACACCCGAAGTAATGTGACAGAGCGGTGCGGTGTGTCACATTCGTTTGAGTATGAATCTTCTCTGTTTGTCACGTTCTAACTGACATCGCCGTTTTCACGTTCAAACGAATGTGATGTCACATTCGTTGGCTACCAGTGTACTGATGGGCTGGGCATAGCTGGGCTCGGCAAAGCGGTCAGGACTTGCCATGAAAGAGGCTGAGCGTGAAAACCACAAACAAAGGGTACCGTACACTGTGGCAAAAAGGTACGGAAAAGTCTGTTAATTTTTTTGCCAGGATTCTCCGTAGCCCTCTTATCAATATTCTCCGTAGGCTCTTACAGTATTCTCCGTAGGGCCGTACAGTATTCTCTGTAATCCGCACAGTCTTCTCCGTAGGACCTGGGAAAACTGTATAGTCCTACGGAGATCACTGTAAGGTCGTACGGAGAATACTGTAAGAGCCTACGGAGAAATTTATAAGGGGGGTACGGAGAATTAACACAAGCTGTGTACATAATTTTCCGTAGCTTTTTGCCACAGTGTAAACCGGGTAACTTGTGACAGCAAGGGTAAATTGAGACACTACTGCTTTCTACCTTTATGGAGCTGCCTTATAGCAGGGGTCGGTGACAAACCCAAAAACGGCAGTGAGGCGAAGCTCTCGCCCGATCTTGCTCCGTGCAGGTGTCACGGACTTCGTCGAGATTATGCAAACTAGGCCATTGCTCGCAAATAGCTTTGCACATATCGAAAGAGCATCACATAAA